TAATATTTTTAATAATATTGAAATAATGTTTTAAAAACATTTTTAAAAAGCTTATTTTAAATTGGTATTAAAATATAGGGTTATATAATTTGCTGCCATGGCGTTACATCACCATGGCGTACATTGCTAGTCTTGATATCACGTGATATATTATAATGGCCCTGCCCCAGATCCGGAATAACATAACTTAACATATATAATATTCTGTATATAAGAGTGAGATTCCTAAATTTGACTTCTAAAAAATTGTTTATTTTGTACTACTTTTTGACATTTGATAATCAAACAATTATAGTTTTATATGTCTAATCATATACTGCAATTTTTATAAGTCTGTATCAAATTATCAGCTAGAATTTTTCTAAATAGACTATAACCGGGCCAGAATCTTGAAGATCTTATAAGTTATAACGATACATATAAATATTCGATCACCTGTATAGTAACATATATATAATAATTATGCAATTAACAAGAACTAACAATGCGACAAAATGCCCACATACTATTATATGTATGATAATACCCAAGATAATATCGATATTAATATGGAATCTGTTAAATATTATCTTGGATATTATCATTATACACATATAGTATGCACTGTACATACTATACTTAATCATACTTACTTAAAGATAATATCTTTGTATTATCTTGTAATACTGTAATAAGTGAACAAGTGAACAATAAATTTTGCTAAAAGCATATAAGCAACATACTATACATACTATCTTTCTAATATTAGCCTAATTCTCTAAATATATATGTACGTATAATATTGAATCTGATCTTCCTAATACAAATTTAATTAAGCACCAAGCTTTATCTGTAACAGTGAGTAAACTTTTTGAAAAAAAATTGCATGTGAAACAAAGATATGTATTTTGTCCTCTGTAAATATACTATACTGATATATTGATGTATATATGTAGATTGTAAAGATGCTTTAAATATTGCAGTTTTTTTGGTAGTGACTATAGTTACCACATCTTTTACAACGTCGTTGCTATTTTCCTTTGTCTTGATTTGTTTCATGAGATGCTTTAAGCCGTTTAGTACCAGGTAGCCTTTTCCTACCTCGCTTTCTTTTTGGATTTTGTAACTGTGACTGTTGAGATACATCGGCATTTGAGTTTTCATTGTCACTTGTCAAATCATCATCTTGACTATCTTCACTTAACAATTCATTATCGTCCTCATCAGCCTCATTAGTAAATTCTTGCAATACTTCAATCAGACGCTTGATTTTAACTTGGTTTGTAAAGCTTTTTGTAAAGCCTTTTTATACTCTTCATGAAGAGTACCGTATATAGCTTTTTGCTCAAGAACACTTATACGTTGCTTAACATAATCAATTTTCTCTTTGTTAATAGTACATAGATAAGTTATTGGCTTATTGTTTTCATACTGAATATTTGTAAGTCCTTCATTATAATATTTATCAGTGATAATAAATGATTTAAACGATGCATCTTTATCTTTCTGGTACCACCGAGAAGGTATCATTTTTATATGAAATTTAGCTTTGTCATTATTTAGCATAACCTGGAGATAGTGTCTACAGATAATACCTTGTTGAATGATCATAATACATGAACAAATATGTGAATTATTTTTTAATAGCACAACATAATGTTTCACTAATAACGAATTTCTAATCTTGATTTCCTATATTTTATCAATGTTATCCTGTTCAACGACTTCTAATAATTGCTATAAAGTAATTTTAGAACTATCAACACTCTCATCTTCATTGCCTGATATAATAATCTCATTCTCATTATCAAATGAAGTATCTTGAGTAAACAAAGATGCACTATAATAGAGCGATTGATTGATCTCATAACGTTGCATTTTTAAAATCGTCGGGGTTAAAAATCTTTGACAGCACCTATCTACTTGTGTAAACAAAAAATTTGTACTTTTAATATTTTTGATCGTTGGTATAGCAAGCTTCCAATATTGATATTGGTTTTTCATATCTTGTTGGTCAAGCAGCTTATGTATTTCATTCATAAGTTCGTAAAAAGAAACGTCAGAATTATATAACAATCTTTTAAGGCATGCATTCATGCCTTCAACTCTTGATGTAGCAATCATGCCCAGTGAATCTAAAGCATGTATATAAATGGGCCCAATATTCCTTAGATTTATACAGACCTTCTAAATAAGGTTTACCTTTTGGATAGTCAGTAATTAATTTTGCAAATCAATCATGAAACGTGACCTGAACTATGCTGTTTCTACATTTATAAAAGTCCTTGAAAAAGCTATCATACTGATTGCCAATTAAGCTTCGAAGATTCTTATGAAGATTCTGAGTTATATAAAATACACAATAGATTAGATATGTGTTTGGGAATACTTCTTTTACTGCAGCATCAATGGCAAAATCCAAATTAGTTATTGTTACCGTCGGTTGTATATTAGTAGCCTTGTAAATCTGGTTAAAAAACCAAACATGAGAATCCCAACTTTCATCTATAATTAGTTCTTGTGCAAGAAGAATATTTTGCCTATTCTGATCAAATCCAATGAAAAGTGATAGTGGTATCCTATATCTATTCGTTTTGTGTGTGATATCATTAATAACACAGTCACTAAATTGTATCCAATTCTCAACTTGATTAGGCGTCATCCACATTAAATGTGTAAGTGTATTATCCTCATCCCATCCTCTTGCTATAATTCATCTTGGGTCTTTTTCTTTTTGACTGTCAAGCCAATTTGACATTCTTGCAGCATCATTCAAAAGGGATTTACCAGTAGAGCAAAATTTACTAATTGCCGCATATAAATCCTTACTGTGAATAGGTTTAGAGGGATATTTGCCTTCTAAATACCGCCTTTGTGCTGTTGCATTCATTCTACATTGTTTAGTTAAGAACTCTATGTCATCTGTCATTTCTTTACTAAACTTTTTTGCTTGTTCAAATGAGATAGCATCAACATTCAACTCATAATTATGCTCATTTACGATTGTATTGATAAAAATAAGAAAATCAGGATTTTTATACTTGGGGCAATAGGCATTTACATGCCATTTATATAATATTTTTTTAGTCTCTGTTTCTTTATTAGAACTTGAATTGTAATGCCAACCATGCTCACAAATATAAGTTTTTCTTCTGATGACATTATTTTCACAACAAACATGATCCTTTACAATATTAAATCCTCTATCTCTACTCCACTCAACTATAAATAAATCGCATATCTCCCAGTTTGATAATCTTTTTCTAGTATATAGCTTAAATGCATCATCTTCAGCACTATTAATCATGAATGAGTTGGTATCTATATTTTCAGAATTTTTGGCATTTTCTATGCTTTCAACGTTGCTTTCAACATTACTTTCTTCATTAATATAGTAATCTATATTTTCATCATCATTCATATTAAGGTTTGATTTAATTAAGTTAGGTATGTTCTGTCAATATTCATTTAAGTAATCACTATTAGCCACTTTAACTACAAATATTATATCATATTTGTAACCCATAAACTTACTACTAATTTCACGTAAGAAACGTGGCATAGACAACAGAAAAAATACGATCGCAAAATCAAAAGGAAAAAAAGTATAGAAAATAATACAAACGAATATAAGAAAAAAAAAAAAAAAAGTGAAAAAACAAGAATGTGAATGAAGTGAAAAAAATAGAAATGCAAGATGAAAAAACTACATTACAAAAGTAGAAAGAAAATAAAAGGGTAAGGTAAAAGATGAGCACAAACAAAGTGTAGAAAAAAAAATATGAAAAAAAAGTGAAAAATATGAGAAAAGTAAAGAATGGAAAGAATATGGGGAAACAAATTAAAAAAAGAAAGCAAACAAAGTGAAAAGAGTTGATATATAAAATAAAAAAAGCACGTGAACAAAGTGCAAAAAAAAGTGCAAGGTAAAATAAAAGTGCAAACAAGGCATGGAAAATTAAAATGGAAAGAAGGATAAAAAAGAAAGTGAAAGGTATAAAAAATACGTGAAAGAAGTGAAAGATATGAAAAATATGTGAAAGAAGTGAAAAACGGAAGAACACGTGAAGCAAGTTAACAAAGCGAACACATGAAGCAAGTTAAAAGGTAGATCAAAGCACTTATAATATATAAAACGAAAGGGCAAGATAAAAAAGAGATGAATGAAATTCAGAGAAAACTGAAAAAGTAAAAGGTTAAGTACAATTTATATTATTTATGCTTCTAGATACTAAAGTTTATTACTAAAGTTTATTAGAAGTTAAATGCTTATGATCATTTATTTATGACAAACAAATTGATCATTGTATTACCGTAATCAAAATAGCGATATATCGCATATGCGATAAATTATAATATCCTAAATAAAAATAAATAAAAAAATAAAATAAAAACAAAAA